TATATTGCTAAAAACCACTGAATTCGCAATTTCTTGAAATAAAATCACAAAATTAGACTGACAGAAGTGACATCAGATATTTGATTACTTCAAATGAATGATAAAGATGCTTACAACGCGGTGTCCCTACTGTTAAAAACTTAAAATTTCACGTCGATAATTTTCAGATATCAAAATAATGTAATATCTTCTCATTATTGATTCGTCCTTTCTTCTGTCACAGAAAAAAATAGTGTATTATACACGGGAAAAATATTAGATTTTAGCTCACGGTTTGTTGTCTCCCTCCGCTACGCGTCGGGAGACAACACAACCTGGAGCTAAAATCTACTACTTTTTTCCCTTGTATAATAAATAACTATTATTTTTCATGTTCTCCTTTCGAATGTTCATCAGATATAATTCAATGTTCGACGTGGCAAATAGCCAGGAAAGTAGTTGTTTTCTGTTGAATATTTCAGAATGATGTGTGCATATACATATTTTTGTCTGAAGGAGAATGCAAATTCTCAATTTCAGAAGTTTATATTTTTTATATTTTATTTTCAAACTCGTATCGTGTGTGTTCAATAGATATAATTCAATGTTCGTCGTGGCATATAGCCAGGAAAGTAGTTGTTTTCTATAAACTGAAAAAGAGTAAATAATATTCTCATCACATAGAGAATGCAAATTCTCAATGTATTGCTTTATTTAAATATATATCCATTTTTGTATGTTCATAATTTATCTGAGAATATTCCTTTTCATCATCATATATTATGTTGAAAACGGGAGCAGAATCGGTCTTGAAACGTCCAAAGATAAATGAAAATTTGATATTGTTTCTATATACCATTATTTCTCTTCTCCAAACTTTTTTCAATACAAATTGTCACTGACAAGCTAGTGAATTCTTCTTTTAGGCTCTCTGATAAGAAAATTCTTTGAACGCAGTGACATTTTGGGGAAAATCATCTGATTTGTCCCTACTACACGTATATTGAAATAATATTCATATTTTTATTTCATAGAAACGGGGAGAGAAAATCCCAAAAAAATTGGAATAATAAATGTACCACCTCCTCGATCAACCAACAGACAGTATGTAGAATATTCCCACTTATTTGAATTAAATGTTTTGGTTGCAAATAGCATGTTTCATTCGGATCAAAAGTGACTTTGTTTGACTCGCAAGTTTTGCTTTCGCTTGGCTTCGCTAAACGCTCCGCCTCGCAAAAAAAATCGATTGTCAAACAAACTGTCACTTTTGATACTAATAAAACAATCTACTTATTTTCTTAATAGAAAGTAGGTCGTTTCTATGGCATTTAATATCACTTTAAACTTGTCAGTGTCTGGGCGGTGTAATTTAAATTGTTCATAAAATGTCAGATGAAGAGCTGAAGTGGAAACCGCCTGACATAAAGAAAGCAGAGGGTGAAAAATTTTTCCACCCAGCAAAACACTACACATCGCATGACCAGAAAACACCCATATCAAAAAAATATCAACATTGTGCTAGTAAATACTTTATATTTATGAATCTACATACATAAACTAGCCAAAATTTCTCTATCTACCATTCATCAATGCAGCATTCTTCATTCAGCACCTTGAATATCTATACAATGTCTCAACGAATTTAGAGACGAGTAATTCCGGAAGTGGCAAAAGCAATACAAAAAATTGGATTCATGACACATTTGAAACCAAGATATTATAAACATAGATGTTCAATACTGGTTCATGATAACGCAATATTTCAAGAATGTATGGCACCATTTCACTAGCAATAAGAAAGCACTCACCTCTGCACAAAATATCGTATATTATAAACTCGAGAACTTCACTTATCTACTATACCTATTGCTCCATTTTCTCCTTAGCAATATCTCTTTCATGTTTGATCTCCGGAAGATTCACGTATGAACGAAAATTCTAACTTCCTGTTCCGCTATTCCCTCTACCAAAATCCGTCTTCACGGAAGTCGATCTCCTAAACTTTAAAGACGATTTAAAGCCGCGTATAACGTCGGGATGTTGAGCAGGTGGCTGCAAGGTCTTATTAAATGCGGATTCTACGTGAAATCATAGACGGCATACTCGGCTCGGTCTGTGGATTTGTTGGAGTTGAATTCAGTCAATCTTCCCAATGGAAAAAGTTTGGCGATATTGTATTTTGTCTCATCAACAACGATGAGATCCTTTGAATGAACAATTACCTACCTATCAATTGAACAGGGTGACATTTTGAAAAATTCTCACCCACAATATCTTTCTTTCAATGAATGATATGAAAAACCAATGAAGCAGGTTGATTTTATTTTCAAGGGGGACACCTGGAATTGAGATATCTAGCCCTCTTGGTTCAACCCCTTAGAAAGGGTTCATATCATAGATTGTTGGCCCTCGACACAGGGTTTATCGATGTTCTAAGTCGGTATGCCATTTGAGGGACCTGCACTTACTTAGTCCAAGTTAACAGGAAGGAGTGCCTCGGAGAGTCGCAACCCAGTCCTTGCCCCGACCCTGACCCTACCTTTCGGTTGGAAAAAAGTTCAAAATTTTGTTTAGGAAGGAGCTCGGAAATGAAGTACAATGATCTTATCTCACGAAAATTGGGGCGCTTGCCGCTTTGCATACGCCTAGATCACTCCCCATCAAGGGCGGCATACGAACCGGAGTGGCAATTTTTCAGTGTTATAGTCGATGATCTGAGAATGGTAGGGGAGGTGGTAAAAAATGAATAAATCTGTAATATGCATTATAGAGAAGTAAATGGTTTTTGAGATATTCAAATATCGGATCTCCGATAAAAGGGAGAAACATTATTGAATGCCTAAATCATCACGTGCTACACTCTACCTGGCTGACGCAGCAATCATTGTTCAGATATGAAAATTGTTTCAGCAGAAAAAAATACCCCGGGATTCATATTTCTGGCACAATTTGACAATTTGGCACATGATCGCTGCGTGTGAAGATATCGCTAGATGCTGTAGAGCTGTGTTTCAGTAAAAAAAGATCGACAACTACCCCATAGTCCACTTGTTATGAACAGCTCGTGAATTTTCTAATAATAATGAAAAATCTCATAAAAAAATCATTTCAATTGGTTTTTGGAATTTAAAAATCGGTTCAGAAACAACTAAGTTACAATAGGAGATATTTATGGTGAACCACCCTGTACAAAATGTGCGAATTGTATGCAAACCATCATCCCATATATTCTGTGTGGTCCACGAACCATGATCAAAATTTTAACATTTCTTCGATTATCGATTATTTGAAGGATATCCAGTCAAATGATGTTCGAATAAGTCGAGCTCCCTTCTCCGGAATCGTATGCAAATGTCAGGAAATTGATTAATGGGTCCCAATCCATTGTTTAGTCGCAGGGCATACATTCTCAGATTATCTGAACAATCGCCACTTCCGGTTCATATGCCGGCCTTGGAGAGTGACCTAGGCGTAAGCACACCGGCAGCGCCTTAATTTTTATGAGATAAGATCATTACACTTCATTGCTGAGCTTCTTGAAGAAAATTTTGAACTTTTTTCCAACCGAAAGTTGAGGTCAGGACTGGGTTGCGACTCCCCGAGGCACTCCTTCCTGTTAACTTGGACTAAGTGAGTGGGTCCCTCAAATGGCATACCGACTTAGAACATCGATAAACCCTGTGTCGCGGGCCAACAGTCTATCACCCTTAGAATCTTGAATGGATCAAATTGCATGTCATTTCGAAGGGCGTTCAATTCTCTTTCTAACAATACCCTAGTTCATCAATATTTGTTGAGCAGTTTCTGGAAACTGTCGTGTCAATTCAATAAATAATATGCAAAATCGAGAATATATGCCAATTTGATTCTCAACAGGCACACTTTGATTGCTTAGTCTTAGCTCTCATGGTTCAACCCCCTAGGGGGGGTAAATCACCCTAAGAACCTCATTCGAAAAGGAGGTCACAATATGCACAATAATTCGAAGGGCGATCAATTATCTCTTTAACAGTAACCTAGTTCAACATATTTCGATGAGCAGTTTCGAAAAAATACCGTGCTAAACTTGCAGAAGTTATCAGAATATATCTGCACTGAGATGCATGGTTTAGAGGTTAGTATTATTGTGTCGGCTCTCCTTCCAGTTCAAGTTGTTCCAACCATTCAAACTCATAGGAGAGTCGATAGAATTGATAATACTCACCTGGAAACCATGTTCTTATTACTTCTGTAGATTTGGATCGGTATTCTTCAGGAATTGCTCATCAAGAACTAGGGAACCCTGAGCAGGGCAAGGCTATAAGTAACTTCCTGAACGATTGTGATGCATACTTGTAGGAAATATCTCCAGATATCGTTATTTCCTGTTGTTTCAGGTTCTTTGTTAAGATGGAAAGGCTCTTTGAAATATTTCATTCAAAAATGAAGTTCATGTACAAAAAATGACAATTCATGAAATTAACTACTGACATCAACTGACATATCTTCTCTTCGCCGCCTATTTCATGATACAGGATGATTTCGTCCATTTCACAACATTCGTCCATCCTGAGCATTATAGTCCGGCGGGTAAGAGGATCCACCTTGCATTTCTTGTTCAAAAGGTGACACGTGGCTCAAATTGTTCCTTAGACCCTATTCTTCGATATGAGAAATGTTGCCACGGTCTCACCCCCTGCAGACCCCTTATTTAGGCATGGTTGTCTACCTTCAGGGGCAAAACGCCCTTTTCCTCATTTCTCGCGTAATAAACGTCGTAGATGTCTACTTTTTTCACACATTTGAAGTGTTTTGAGTGCCCAAGGCTGACAAACGATTATAAAAGGCTCACGGCCACACATTTCAAAATGGCGGCGTCCGAAATCGAAAAATTTGAACATTTTCAAAGAAACAAAAAAGAGGAAACATAGTATCGTGACGGGTGTCGTTTCATATGTTTTCGGGGCGTCTGATTACGAAAATGAAAGTTGAAATCCATCCTGAGAAGTCATTGACGGATGGTGCATTATATTTAGAATTCATGGGGTACAGAGTTGGCAGGTACACTTGCACAGCTCGCAACAATTGAGACCGTTTTTCAGGCATTTGCAGCGGGCCGGTACGCACCCCTTTTGACAGGAACATTTAATTAGTGCCTCACAAGCTTCAGATGCAACAGGAATCGTGCGCCACACAGGTTCCCAACCCTCTTCACATTTTTTCCAGCCAAAGTCCGCTGGGTCGGGAAAGTTTTGTTCACGCTCCAGAGATTGTCTCCACACTTGACTCTGAATGGAAGCTCTCTTAGCATGTTGCTCCAGAGCGTCTCTTGTTGGTGAAATGGATTCCAGCTGACGGTCGCTCTTTGTGAACAACACCCTCCGGCACTCGTTCACAGTCTCGCAATACGCAGTCCTGGAATTAGAATACGTAAATTAATATTACTTTCGTATATTATACGTCATTTTTCTATATTTCACGTTCGAGGAGAGTTTTGTTATTTTACCTGGTGTAGGTTGAAACAACAAATACTTCTTAATTGCCCATAGCCTGAACAACTGTCCCGTCTTGAAGAGCTTCAAATCCATCTGTTACTGTTGCTCCAGGATATTTCAGCCAAGCGTTTACGGCTGTGAGTTTTCCGATTCCTTTGAAATAGGACACTGTGTCGCAGCCGGTAAAAGCATGGAAACCCAGCAACGATTCTGACTTTTCAGGACCTAAGTACATAAATTAAAGAGAGAATTAATGAAAGTGGTTCGGTATTAAAGCAGTTATTATCTTTTTGTTCACCCACCTAGAACATTGGCAATTTCGTGCGCAGCCAGAAATTTGGAATGCTTGCCCATGCCAAAATGCACCCATAGCTCTTGAAGCTGAGGCAACTGCTGAATACAGGATACTGCTATGACAAGAACATCCGTGTCACATGTCCTAATCGTCACTTTCTCACAGCCATGGGCCTCTGTATCTGCCAGGTGGACAAATAAGCGTGTGTCTGCCTCCTCGTGGTTGCATGGGGCCATGGAGGAGCTATCAGCACCGAATGGGCTGCTGACGACAGAGTCCTCTAAAGTTGCAAAAAAAGTTTTTCCGGGAATGTTTGAATTCAAAATGCTTTTAGCAAGAAGTTCAAACAAGGCTGTCTTGTTGTCGGCATGTCGAAGGAAATATTCCCATCCTTTAGGCACTTTGGTGGACAATGTCACTCGGATTCTTGATTCCTCTCCGCGCTTCTGACGTGTCCCATTTTTGAGACTATTTTCAAGGTACCTAGAAATAAAAATGAAATGGAAACAGTCTTATTAAAATCAGGTTATTTTGTGACAATTTTGCAAAAAAGAAAAAAGTATTGCACAAACCTGTCAAAGACTAAATCCAACCGATTCACTGTAGCAGATTCCTTTCTAACATAGTTGAGAAATATGTTGCTTATATAATCTCCAAAAGTGACAGAAGTTCCTGGTTTTAACATGTGCACAATCACTGCTCCGTCTAGTATTTTTGCTTGTACGATGGGCACACTATCAGCAGTGCACTCTTCAGACAAGTTAGACAGGTACTTGGTAAGGTCTGATTTCGAGTCACTAGTGCGCAATTTCCCCATAACAGAAATAGATGGAGGTTATTCCTGATTTTCATGGGAGAAAACTTCTTCAAGATCATTTGGCCTGTTAGCGCTAGTGGCGATGTATAACCTACTAAACAAGCTGCAGTCATTTTTTGAAGCAGTCACTTGGGATTTCAGATTCAAATTTGTATTTTTTTCCACTCCGGTCTTGAACAGAGGGAATTTGTTCAATTTGATTGGATCCATCAATGAAACTTTGTGGGAACTCACCAAAACGTGGAACGCCTGCACAAATATAACACTAAGATGTACCTGTTTGTTCACGTCGAAGCGGGGAATACACTCGGCAAGCCACCGCCTGCTACAACAAGTCACAACAGCTCCGCCAAGAGACCATTGTTGCCGAGCGCGCGGAATCAAACGAATGCGCGGATCTCTTCCCCGCGTGAGCGCGCGGAAATTCAAACCGAGATTTATCCAACTTTCAACCTCTATATATTTTCGTAATCGGACGCCCCGAAAACATATGAAACGACACCCGTCACGATACTATGTTACCTCTTTTTTGTTTCTTTGAAAATGTTCAAATTTTTCGATTGCGGACGCCGCCATTTCGAAATGTGTGGCCGTGAGCCTTTTATAATCGTTTGTCAGCCTTGGGCACTCAAAACACTTCAAATGTGTAAAAAAAGTAGACATCTACGACGTTTATTACGCGAGAAATGAGGAAAAGGGCGTTTTGCCCCTGAAGAAAGGCAACCATGCCTAAATAAAGGGTCTGCAGGGGCTGGGACCGTCGTGGCAACATTTCTCATATCGAAGAATAGGGTCTAAGGAACAAGTTAAGCCATGTGTCACCTTTTGAACATGAAATGCAAGGTGGGGTCTATTCCTGCAGGTTACCGTCCGGACTATTATGTTTGTCCTCAAACATATAGTCGTTGAATCTTCTAGGTTTTCTAACTAATCGTTCCATACTGGTATAATGACGAATGGAATCATCGATTCCCAATGTGTTACCCATATTTTCATCAGAATCCGGTTTTCATTCTTCGACACACTGTCGTCACTATCTTCATCGCTTTCTCCTTCTTTATATACAGTGTGTGCGATTTCAACCCGCAACACCCTCGATCCTAATTTGGAAACCGTCGACGGATTTTCATGAACAAAATTTTCATAATATAGTACTCAACGAGCTCAATTAAAAAATGTGGACAAATCTGGAATATTCAGATTTTCACACTGAGAAAAACTGGTTAATTAAAACGTCTAGTTGGTATTTTTTTAGTACCGATAATTAAAAATATTTGGAATTTTATTAACAATGACAATGTATCCTTATTTCCTACAAATAACTTTTCTATTTTTCGCCACTTATTTGTCATCAATAAAAATGCTATTTGTGACAGAATTATCACAGTGTTGTCTATTCAGTAAATTAAAATTTCATATCGGGGTTAAAAAACCTCATTCTGGGGTTACAAACAACAGCTGACTATTTACCACAACTGATGACACATTTATCGTAAAAGGTTTATTATTATTCATAGCAGAAATTGTTAAGCCATAACTAATAAATTTAGTTGTACTGCGTCGTTCGGGACCACCTCGCGTCTCTTCGGGACCCACCGGCAAAAATTGCATCTTGCATCTGTTTGTCTTTTTGTTTCATCATTTGAACTTGTATCTTAATAGTGGATAGATCGCACGGTCGTCGAGCTTGGACAAAATAAATAAAATAATTGTCTACTGTAGCCGGGAGCGTCGTGTTCTTGCTGGTTCACTGCTCTGTGTGTTTTCAAATCACTGTTAAATTGTGTTTTTTTGCACTTCGCGCTGAGCCATTTGGCATTTGGTTGGCAAAATAATAATTCGTGGTTTACCATCGTTATCCGTGCGTCACTAGTTATCAGGTTTAGGTACCTATTCACAATTCAGTTCAGTTTACGACTGGCGACGGTGAGAAACGTCCAACCGACGTCACGTGTACACGGTGTATATTTATAATTTCCTCTCTTTTTGCTGAGCTGTGGCCTGTGGCACTTACGGTGTGTGTTGTATTCCTGTTCACGATTCCATTGGAAATTGGAAGAAAAATGGCACACAAACTGTTATTATTAGAATGGGGCCTCAATGTTAATTGATATAAAACTATTAAGTTGCCAGAATAACTAAATTATATTTCAAACGTTACTAAATCACTTCCAATAGTAACTAGATTCCATTTCAGTCACAATTAAATATTTAATTTGCAACAACACACTCACTATTAACGTCAGAAGAGATGAGTAATTGCCCCAACTGGGATAATTTGTTGTGATAACAAACATATATTGAAACAGTACTAACAATCTAATTGTCATAACTATGTATCTTGATTGTGGCAAATAAAACTTGGTATTATTCCTTAAAAAGGCTTATTAGTTACCACAACAACGTCGTAGATGACTCAACTAAACTTTTCATTTGAGGCAAATAGGCGTTTCCAGAAAAACAGAATTAGTTATGGCAACAACTAATGCTTGCTGTCCCCTATCGTACTAAAAAATGTTTCTGTAGTTACTAATTTTTTAGTAACGGCTACAAATTTTTTCCCTCAGTGGATGGCCTACTTTTGATTGTTCAATGGGTCAAAATTTCAAAAACGACTATTAGGCAATTTTTTGTCGAAACAGTGACTAGCCCATTCGATTCAGGCATACCTTAAATACTCCTATACGAAATTTGATCGCAAAATCTCATATAGGGTGTTAGTTATTCAATGGCAAATGTTGATATTTATGATTTTTTTATTCACCCTGAATCAAAATCTAAGGAAAAGGAATCGATATAACTGGTGAAGTAATCCTTCAATGGAGAAACACATTGAATTTTCGAATACGAAGTGTCATCATTGTAACTTCTACAGGGAGATCTTTCTAGTTCAACCAAAACTGATAAAATTAAAGTTGAGGTTCACCATTTTGAAAACTCGAGTGAACCGTTTTTCACACACTCCACCACACAGTAACTTTGAAAATCGTCTCGATTGATAAAGAATTGTTGAATATAACACAAATAGATGACAGACGAACACTCCAAAAACTGCAACGATATTTACTGCTACTTAATGTGATCATAAAAATATAGGTACCGATTTTGAAATGGAAAGAAAATTTTAGTTGACAATGAGAAGAATATGTCTTCGAATTAGTTACCATTATTTATATTTCCAAAAAGATATTGATCATAAAAAAATTTCAACTTCAATTTTATTAATTTTTGGTTGACCAAGAGAGATCCTCCTGTAGAAGTAACAACGATGAAACTTCGTATTTCAGTATTCCATGTGTTCCTCCATCGAATGACTACAGCATCATCAGTTATATCAACTCTTCAGATTTTGATACAGAGTGAATCGAAAAATCAAAAATATCAAAATTCGCCACTGATGTATAACAATAACACCCTATAAGAGATTTTGCGTTCGAATTGCCTATGGAGGTATATCAGCTGTGAATGAATCGAATAGGCTTGTCACAGTTTTGATGAAAATTTGCCTTATAGTCGTTTATGAAATTATGACCACTTCAACAAACAAAAGTAGGCCATGAAAATCTGAATATTCAAAATTTGTTCACATTCCCAAATAGAGCTCGTTGAGTACTACACGGAGAAAAAAAATCACTAACCCTGAGTGAATATTTAATAGTGGCAACTAAAAACTTGTATACTATATGGGACAAGGAAACAAGTTAATAACCACAAGAATATTTGTGTTCCTGAAACTGTACACCTACCACTATTGACCTGTTTTATTAAATTTCAGAGTGATAACGGTTAGTGAACACATCACTTGTCATCAGTGACCTATTCAATTGTCATTAGTGACTCATTCACTTTTCATGAGTGACTTGTTCACTAGTCATTAGTGGCCTAATTACATGTCATTAGTGACTTATCTACTAGTCATCAGTGACTTATTTACTTGTCAATAGTGACTTATTCACTCGTCATTAGCTAGTATGAAAAAATACCTCCATTGTTCTCTGAAAAATGATAAAACCTTGGTAATGAGACAAAAACACATGCATTCAAAACATTTTATTATATAGGTATGATGAATCCAGAAAATACAAAAGAGGTAAAGTTGACGACAATTATATAGAGATACTATAGATACCGCGTATATCAGCATCATGCACCGAGAAAAACGGTACTCTCACTCACTGCACTGCACTCTGGTTCACTATAATTTTCCTTCCAGCATTGAAGATGAATCAACTTTCATACTTTTTAAACGTCACTTTCTTCCAATTCGAGTATCATGAGAAGTGGAAAAAAATCCTGTATATATGTAGAAACAATTATGTACTGTTCTAGAAGAGTTTTGTATTTCATTGTCTCCTTCAAGAGAACAGATCAAGAACTCAACACCCCACAGCTCAGAGCACGGCCACAGAGCACGGCATACAAACAGAGAATTCTCATACGAATATGATATAGTAGTTGTTCGAAAGGGCACTTGCATGACTTGGAATTTCAATGTTACTAGCGGGAACACAAGTATACTAACTTCACGAATGCTAAGATCGAAATGACGCCGTGAACTCGTGGACACTGGACAGTGATCGCGTTGGGCGTGGGTACTCGAATAATATCGGAGATGGCCGAACGGAAAAGAGATCTATAACTACAGGTGAGCTGTCACCTGCAACAATCGACTTGATAGATTGTCTTTATTGATGAGTTCGCTCAGAGCAAGTGATCATATGTCAGAAAAATAATTTAATAATACTGAGTATTCGTTAACCTAGCACTAGTTTAGTGTTCACTTAGAATTAGCGAACTCTAAGTACATATCGACTTGGTTGATACCAACAAGTGTTCTGATCACTTACAGCAGAAACTTCGTTCCAGAAATATAGTTTTGCCTACTGCAAGTACCATATTTTCCTACCGTTGGTGGAAATGTTCTTGTCACAATCGACTTTTTTTCAAAAAAACAATTTACTTGGCCGAGTTTTCTCAGTGTATATTATGAAATTTTCGGTTTTATAAATCGGTCGACGGGTTCCAAATCAGAAGGGTGTTGCGGGTTGGAATCGCACACACTGTATATATAGGTATAAGGTAATAGTTAATGAGTCGATATAGATTTCCTCCAAGCAAAAAAAAAGTTCAATAGTTTAAATTATAATTCAATTCTGATTGATAGTATTTATTGTCACATTCGAACAATTTTGAATGAAGGAGTGTGGAACGACTATGGTGCTCTGGTCACAATTCCAGGTGTGCACTACATAAATCAAAAAATTCAAAAACACTAACAGTTGTCATTTTCGTGTACAAACTCTTATCTTACTAATATCATCGAGTTACTGACTCTACGCGTCACTAATCATAGTATGCGTAATACGTAATGAGGGCTAACACTCTCAGTCACTCCAGTTATGAATAGTTTATGAATAGCCCTTTTCTGTCTGTCATCTTCATGTTCATCTTCTGAATATTCTGAATTGTAATCTTTCGTCTTTTTTCATCCACACTCACTCTACTGGAATATCAATATATGATTGAAATGCATGACAAACCCCACGTACAACCCTGCATTCCTGTGGGCTTCTTGTTTATTGTAACAACTTCTCATATGATGGTATTATTTGATTCTTTCGATTTTAATTATACTTCATTTTAATTACGCCTACTAATTCTACCGTATTCTATTATAACTCCTACTGACGCTACTAATAGAATACTTCTCATGAGATGAATATGCAAGTATTTGGTAGGTATACATTTGAAACAGTAATTTATCTTCACAGGAACAACATCACAAAAATCTAAGAAAGTAGATACTGAATCTGTAGTGGAAGAAGAAAACCACTATGATTTGGTTGCTGAACTGATAGGAGATCAGATATTCAACATCGACAGAGAAGAAGAGAAGTCTTCTCCATTAGGCAACCAGAAGGAAGAACTGCTTGAACCTGATAAATCAATTAAGAAGAGAGGTCGAAAGAGATCAATTGCTCCAACTTTGGATTCCTTGATAAACAAAGTCGAAACGAACGAAGACTACTTGAAGGCCATACATAATAATCTCAATAAACTGGTCGAAATCGAAGGAAAACGTTTATATTTAGAGAAAATGGAGCTCAAATTGATATATAATGTTTGTATATCGTTCATTTGATTCTCTTATAAATTATTTTGGTCATTGTATTAAAATTGTTGTATCAAATTATTTCGTCGACCCTGTTCTAGCAAATCATTCGGTTCTTCTAGAACTACGTCAGGCTGGTTTTCCAATTCTGAAAAAGAAGTTGTAGTTGATTCTTCTTCTAATAGCGGATTTTCAGAATGTTGCAGCATAATATTAACCGGGAAGAAATATGAATACTCTCAATGTATTACCGATGGGAATATCTTCAAACTCAATGCCATGATTCCTCAGTATATTATGTAGAATAGCACAGGAATAGATTATTTTTGCTGCCACAGGAGGAGCATAATGTGAGGTTCTGTCCTGACATAGACACCTGTAGTATGCCTTTGACAGCCCAATGCACCTTTCTACAGTATTTCTAGCTAGGATTTGTTTCGCGGTATATCGCCCTTCAGGTGTTCCTCTCTCAGCTCCTACAAGAGCTGTCATCAAGAAAGGGGTCAATGGATATCCAGAATCCCCTAGAAGTAACAATTAAAAAAATTTCTATACGGAATATTGAAAATTTTATGAAATTACTTTCCTAAAAGCCAAGTCGTCCGATCTCCATTCTGATAATTATTCAGCAATATATGTCGTATTTTGCTCATCATCCATATCGCAGAGTCATATACAGAATCGGGATATCTAGCATCAATTGCTAATATTTCCAAATTTGAATCACAAATCTGGAAAATCATGAATTATATATTGTATCACTATCAACGGGAATTATTTCTTATTGGTTACCGCTACAACCATGGTAGAGCTCACCACTTGACAATTTATGGAGTGAAAGTCTTTCCTATTGATCAGACAGTCAGGCTGCTCTTAAAGCACTGAGCTCCAGCAAGATAAATTCCAAGCTTGTATGGAGCTGCTGAATCCCTAGAAAGCCTGGGTGCTAACAACAGAGTCACTTTGATGATGCTTTGGAATTAATTCGTTCAGAGAATCCATCCTGCAAAGAAAATTCCATCAAATGAAGAAATAATGAAAATTTAATTATAATTTCGTTCACATACCTGTAGTCTAGAGTGTCTAGTCTCGTATTTTTTCGTACAAGCATAAACATTCCCTAATGTTGAGGATGTCTGAAGTCGCCACGTATGTACATACAATTTTTTCATTCGTCGCAACGGTGCGAACTTTTTTCGCATTCAATATGTCTTTGTTCATCACATGTGATTCAAGAAGGATAAGATATACACTGATCCCAGAACTTCTGTCCAGTGGAAAACGCTATTAGGAGTCAAGTCAATCTTTAGGTTGTCTTTTAGTGACATTTCGAGAACTGTCTAATACACCCAAATGATATGTCAGATATGGTTCAATGGAAATTATGAAGACTGAATGAAGTGGCACCTGAAATCAATCCCCACATGGCCTACGATCTCTCTACGGTCTTTATAGATAGGCGGTTTTATTTAAAAATTATCGAAACTGTGAGTACTATAATTGATTATATCATTCATGCATTGTTCTCTTCACTATCCACTGGATCAATTCTGGGAAAAAAAGGTGTGAATATGGGCCTCCTCGAGAATGAAGGATGATGCAAAATGAACTTAATGGTCTGAAATCGTTATAACATCTTCATTTCAAAATGTTTTATAATTAGTTCTTGAAGATATCAATATATCAACAATTTTGTTGTTTTACCAACACGTTTTCCATATTATTTCGCAACATTCAGGTTGTTATGACATGGATTTACGTTCAAATATTGATTTCCAGTTGGGATCTGGACACTATACACATGATTTTGCGATTGGTCCAAAGAACAGAGCCGAGAACAGATAAATACTCTGTAGAAACGGCAATTTGAACGAGCTTCTGCACGAAGTAAAGCACACGTCGACGATATTCCATAACAAAGTCATTGTGACCCTTGCCTCATGTGCTCTGTTGCTTCGACCTGCTGAAACCACTGTTGTTCGACTGGTTTTCCTCAACCAGCTGAAAAATCAGTTTGATTAGTGGTAAAACAGTGTAGTGTATTATCGTGCCAGAGGTTCCAGTCTTCGATATATAGCTTCAAGAAGTCTTCCAACAGAGCATCATCCATGGTAACTGCGGCATTGACTTGATTTCCCAAGGTATTTGGGCGAATTATCCTTTCGAGAGATACACCGCACTCAACGGTAGGTACTCTTTAGCGGCTGAATATATTGTTGATGAACTCCAATTTCACTAGATACTGTTTTGTCCGTACAACACTTATATTGAAATAATATTCATAATTTTATTCCATAGAACCGAGGAGATATCTGAAAATTGACAATTTGTACGCTGCCTCAAAATAATATTGTTCCATATAATGTATTTTCCAAGTGTCCTCAGTTTCAAAAGTTGTTAAAAATGATGGGAAAATCAGAAAATACCAGAGTAGGAACGATTTCCAACCATTAAGGTCGTTTTGCTTCACCCTAAACCTAAATATCGTTCGTCATATACAGGTACGCAGAGGGAGTAGGGAACTTTTGGTGTGTTTTGAGAGACCCTGTGGAATTAACCACTGACAATTTTCAAAAATAAATCGTGGTTTGATTTCTTCTCAATATCTATACAGGGTGTTAACAAATAAGTGTCACAACGGAAAACTGTAGATTCCTCATGATGAAAGAAACATTTTCTTCCCTTTCGAAATTTTTCTCCGGGCTTTCGTTTTCAAGATACAGGGCGTCAAAATAATACAAAAAAATCTGTTTTTTCGCTACTATCTTGGGAACCGTTTGAGCTACAGAGTTAAGCCTTCGTACACACTTCATTATCAATAATGACTACTTTTAGGGCTCTTGATCAATTTCCTTGGACATGTCAGTGGAGGAGAACTTAACCCCCCAAACATTTATGCCACTGGAGGAATAGTAATTTTCAAAGTAGATTCTGAAGCGCCAATATCTTTCACACAAAAACGTCATCTTGTCTCAATGCTCTAAAGTGAATAGTTTCTGCGAAAAATTGCTCTTTATGAATAAGAACATACAAAATCCTGATGGTCTCTCCAAAAATCGTCTGAAAATCCACTGGAAATAAACACCTCAGAACGGTCTGAGAATATGTTCAATCAAATGCTAGGTTCTTGCGTATGCTGGTTTTTAAATTGTCAAGTTTATTAAGTGATGTAAAGTGTGTTCAATTAAACTGAACATTTTATATTTTTTGACGCCCTGTATCTTGAAAACGGAAGCCTGGAGAAAAATTCTGAAGAGGAAAGAAATGTTTCTTTTATTATGAGGAATCTACAGTTTTTCGTTGTGACACCTATTTGTTAACACCCTGTATATTTTCTTCATTCGGATATCTGAGTTATAAGAGTAATTTCGACCGTCATCTGATAACGATAGGCATGTTAAACCATAGTAGTTTATTGAACAGCACCTGTGCCAATCACTATCCCGAACAAAATGATTGAAAAATTGCACTTTCCTGTGCGGAAATTCGCACTCGATTTCGCGATGTGATAACGATAGATGATAATTATGTCATCTGATACCAATTGGATCATCTATCTCAGAAACCTACCTGTGCCACCCCTCAGTCTGAGCCGAATCCGATATACGGTATACAATATTCTCAATCGATTGGATATTCGATTCTGTAAGATAACAGTCGTACCCTAACAACACCAGTACATCCTAGGGACTTCCCATGGACGTCCCTGATTTTATACTAGGACATCCCAGGGATGTCCTTTGTCGGGACAACGTACATACCAGGGATGTCCCAGGGACATCCGATGGCCGCTAAAAAAGGCATCCAAGGGATGTCCTTCTGGTTCGTCCATGGGATGTACCAAGTACGATGAAAGGATATCCCTAGGACGTCCCAAGGATATCCCAGGGACATCCTTTCGACAAAAGAAAAAAAGTTGCAGGTCGAGTAGGGATTGAACCCGGGACCTTTGGCTTATCATGCACGCACCTTGCTCCATTGGCTATCATACCTCCTGAAGATTTATGTAATAAACAGATTTATAAACAGGACTCAACTACAGAAACCTGAATAAATACAACTTTATTAGGAATTGGGTATAATTATTATCATTCTTGGGTGTTTAAAAATGAGGGGCATTATGCATGTACGATTTCTGTCTGCGAAAAATGGTAATTTCTCAAGAAGTTCTGAGACTTTATTCTCTATTTTCATTACAATCATTTTCCGGAAGAGAAACAAACATTTTCGAAATAATTCAACTCAATAATTTGATGAAATTCAATGACGACTCTGATGTGAATGGATATCAGATACTCCAGGGACACGAATAGGATAACCTAGAGACTTACCGGGCGGGATGTCCACTGGACAACCACTGCATCAGGACATCCCCTGGATGTCCTTGTACCGCAGGACAAAAAAGGGACGTACAGGACATCCCTGTGTTGTTAGGGTATAAACTTTTATCCAAGATTAGAAAATGTTCGAGCCATCGAGGATTCCTTTTTACTCTCATGTTCAAACTCACTTCTTTCCCAAATGGGACATTTAGTATAAAATATTCTATTCTTATAATCGATAGAAAATTCGCTTCTGAACAAAAACTGCGCCATATAACCTTTCATCGTTAATTCAAAAATGACTAGACTTGCTGCTTATGATGAATTCTTATATGCAAGGATCCTGCCACCTTAGAAGATGCCGCTTAATTATTGTATCACTCTGTATTATTATTTTATATTATTAACACGTATATTACTTAAACATGGGACACTGGTATTGCCTAAATGAATATTATATCACAGGTCCCGTAGTGTAGCGGTTATCACGTCTGCTTCACACGCCAACTATCCATTCACCAAAGTCCGATACCGAGATCGACATCGAGAGAGCAGTCACAAAACTCCTGAAAAATGAAGTCAGCCTCCGTACCAAGAGCCCCGAGATAGAGGGTGATTTTTTAACTAAGGAAGTACCACAGACGATACCGACTAGAGGTATAACACCTACTCCTGCCCCTAGAACAAGAGCAGAGCACCCCCCACATATCATAGCAGATGTTTTCATTTCAAACTATCAGGAGGAGATACCCGCCCTTCCACAGAATATGCATCGACTATACGAGGATAGGATTTTGGCACAAAAACTTCAGGACCAGGAGAAAGATTCGATGGATACCACCACTCCACCACAGGCGAGATTGGAAAAGAGAAGGAGGGAAGGCCAGAGCACAACAGAAGAAATAAGGGAAAGGAAGAGAGCCAAAAATCCTGAGGGAGAGTTCCAAATTCCTAGAAAAACCACGAGATGGTCGGGAGTGTTCAAGAAAAGGTCTGAACTTATTCCCATCAAAAATAGGTTCAAACCATTAGATCATACCACGACGGCGGCCAAACAAGATCCTGCAACTGAAAAACCGCTCCCGACCACATCAGATGACTCGTCGGACGAAGAAGGGTCGATTGGAAGTGTACCGGAACAGGCAGCTCCCCAAACAAGGAGTACAACCAAAAACTCAGCCAAAACCCCCGCAAAAAACTCGTCACCGGTGAAACAACAGAAACCCCCGCCAATAGTATTTGACGGAGTTCTAACTAATAGAAAACTGATCAACGAAATGATCAAAGAATTTACGAGTAAACCCTTCTACTTCAAATTCGGAAGGGAGTCCACATTATTATATATGGACAACGTTGACGATTTCGAAATGTTAAAATCGAAGCTAGAGGATGACGAAGTTGCTTTCTATACATACACGCTGAAAAAAGACAAGTCCCACGCGTTCGTAGTGAGGGGCCTGGACTTTAAGCCCGAACCCTCCGAGGTTAAAGAAGATCTGGAGGCTAATTATGATATCAAGATAAGGGAAGTGTTCGCGCTGAACACGAGATTCAGGCCCCTTTACCTGGTAACTGTCGATCCTACTATTACGCTTCGGAACCTAAACGACAGAGTGAAGTACGTCCTCTCCACCAAGGTCGTTTGGGAGCTGAGGCGTAATAATAGAGAAATATCCCAATGCAAGAGGTGTCAGATGTGGGGCCATGCCACCAGCAACTGTTACAGGGACTATAAGTGCCTGAAATGTGCTGGTGGTCACCCCACACCTGAATGTAAAATGCCCAAGCAAGAGCCTGCAAAATGCGCCAATTGTGGACAGGCTCATCCGGCAAATAATATTGATTGTGAAATTTACAAGAGGCGACTAGACCTCTTGCATTCGAATAAGAGCAGTAAACCGGGTAAACGGACCTACATCCCAGCCCCGCCCCCCTCTACGAACGTGTGGGAAAGAAGACAGCTTGAAAGAGAGGCCAGACAGCCCAACCCTTCCCCTAGCCAAGGGAGGGTACAGCCGCAGCAGCAGAAGCCGCAGCAGCAGAAGCCGCAGCGAAGACAGAGCAGACAACGCAGTGATGGGGTCATGCCAGGTGGGAGCCAGGGTGGTGACGTCTTGATGGACTTGGCGAACGAATTCTGTCTCCTGGAGCAGAAAGTCAATCTGTCCGAGGTGCTCAGGGCCGTTAGGGACCTGAATGCAAGCATTGGTAATGAAACCAGTCCCATGAGAATAGTGCAGATCGTTTCGGGGTTTGCAAAGAATATTGGTAAGTACAATATTAATGGTAATAAATAGGCCTTAAGATATGCAATATTAACATAAACGGCATCAATGGTAAGATGCCTAGTTTCGTTAACTTTGTATATCGCCACAGTTTGGACATTGTTCTCTTGTCCGAGACCAAACTCCGCCCTGATCATCGTTTTTGTGTGAGAGGATTTACTACTATCAGGGCAGATCGTCCTGACGCGGATGGGTATGGAGGGGTAGCTATCCTGATCAAGAACAGCATTCCTCACTCGGTAGTTTCGCGAAGACAATGTTCTGTTGAGCATGCTGGCGTGAGGCTGCTGAGTGGAGAAACTATTTTCTCAGTTTACAACAGACCCAGTCTCAGGCTCTCAGAAGAGAGCCTTGAGGCTCTGTTTAGTGCTGGTAATAAAGTCATCGTAGGAGGTGACCTCAACGCGAGGCATGTTGATTGGGGAAACAAGGGAAGCAACACTAATGGGAGGATTCTGAGGGGGTATTTGCAGGCTGCAAATGTCCTGTTGGACCACCCTGATACTCCCACGCACTACCCTTTCAACGGAATGACGCCGTCCATAATAGATGTGGTGCTGACCAAGAATGTCACCTCACTTTCAGGCCTCACAGTCATTGACGAGCTGAGCTCTGATCACCTGCCAGTAATGTATAGTTTTGGAGAAAGAATTCCTGACAAGAAAAAACAGATTTATGATTATAAAACTACAGACTGGCAGGGGTTCAGAGCTCGACTTGACGAAAAAATCGAAATCAAAAATGATATAACAGCTGAAAGAATTGATGACGAAACCACTAAATTTTGTGAGGCAATAATCCACGCAAGAAAAGAGACGACACGATTGGTCAGCATCAACTCCGCCAAGGAAACACTCCCGATGGACATTCTTGAACTCATAGCTGAGAAGAAATCATTGAGAAGACGCTGGCAACGATTGAAGACCCCCCAATCAAGGGAGGACTTCAATCGTATGTCTCAACTTATAGAGACCAGAATCAGAGAGTTCAGGAATGCCACCTGGAGGTCCAAGGTGGAGACTCTAGATCCCCGCGACAACACTCTGTGGAAGATGACCAAGAGGTTGAAGCGAAAATTCACCCCGGTGCCTTCCCTGGAGTGTGATCGTGGGGAGGCGGTGTCAGATCCGGAAAAGGCAGTGGTGCTTGGAGAGCACTTCCAAACCGTGAACAAGATCAACAAAGAACTTGAAGGGGCGGTTCAAGAGGACATGCTAGCTGTAGCGACTCGAATCAGGGCCTTGCCTGCGGTGCCTTTATCTCGTCGAGTCCTGAGCAAATCAATCTGCAATCCGAAAGAAATACACAATATAATTAGATATTTTAATATTAATAAAGCGCCGGGTCTCGATGGGATAGACGTAGTTCTCCTAAAAAACTTGTCTCGCAAGGCCATAGTACAATTGCATTATATTATCAATGCCATCATCAAGCACCAGCACTATCCAGAGTGTCTGAAGACTGGGCTTGTTGTACCAATACACAAGGCTGGCAAAGATCCAAAAAGACCAGGAAGCTATCGCCCTATATCACTGCTCAGCGTAGTAGCCAAGGTAGTAGATAAAGTTCTTCTCAGACTGATTGAGGCCCAGGTCGTAGACTTGAACCTGATCCCTGAAGAACAGTTCGGGTTCCGCAAGGGTCATAGCACTACGTCCCAAGTGGCCCGAATTGTTCACGGGGTAAAAGAGGCCTTTAATCAGGACAAAAATACAGTCATGGTCATGATGGATGTCGAAAAGGCTTTCGACACTGTCTGGCACGAGGGACTAATGTCCAAAATGTCAAAGGCTAGGGTGCCTATTTTCACCATTAAGATTGTCGACTCGTATTTGAGAAACCGTAAGATCCGCGTAAAGGTAAATGACGCTGTCTCTGGGGATTTTCCACTTGAGGCGGGTGTCCCGCAGGGGTCGTGTCTGTCACCACTGCTGTACTCAATTTATACGTATGATTTTCCTGTGTTCGAGAGGACGAGTACGGCGCTGTATGCTGATGACACCGCACTATATGCGCACTCGTTCGACTCGGACATCGCCAGGACACAGATCCAGATTCATCTGGACAGGGGAGTCATACCGTATTTTGACGAGTCAAAGATCGGCGTGAATAATACAAAGACTGAAGTTATTAACTTCAGTAGAAAGTTTACTAATAATGTTTTACGTCGACCTTTGACTGTTAAGGGCGTGGAGGTGACGGACTCACCAGTGGTGAAATACCTGGGAGTCAAATTGGACAGACGTCTGTCATTCAGAAAAAATTTCAATTATCTGATTCAGAAAACACAAGCGGCGATCAAGAGCCTGTATCCTTTGTTGGCCAGAAATTCTGTGCTGACATTGGATAACAAGCTCTTGATCTATAAACAGATAATTAGACCTGTCATGACATACGCCTGTCCAGTGTTTTGCAGTGCCTCACCTACCCAGATACGTAGGTTACAGGTGCTGCAAAACAAAGTACTCCGTATCATTACCAACGGCAATCGATATTCTCGAGTGGTAGATCTTCATGAACAGTGTCATGACATCCCGTACATAAAAGATCATATTACTGAAATTTCTAACAAATTTTATAGATTCCATGTTCAGGGAAGTGAACTCACCAGAAGTATTACTTCCACCAGAGCTGAACATGGAATCTATAAGAAGCATGGGTTAATTTACGAGTCGACCGATGTCTTTGGGGAGCCTCTGAACGATCTGTAAGATTCTTAATACGAGAATTCGAAATCACCCGAGAGCAACACGGCCCGGCTGTGACATGGGTCAAGCTGAGGCCGGAGTGTTTCTCTCCTGGTATATGCCAGCAGAGAACGCGGAGTCCGATGCGACTGAGATTTAGAGAGGGTTTTTCTTTTTATTTTCCCTCCTTACCAAGAAAATTTCCAGCAATGCCAATGTTTGAATTCACCCCCAACCCAACTGGGTTCACCTCGGAGATTACTCATTGTAAGGAGCATGGCTTCAGGAGATGGGATTCATTTGCCAAGACTCTAATCGCAGACCAAGCACTCCCTGGTTGACACCAGCCAACTCCACACTGCGTGGAGGATTGTTCTTTATGCATTCTCATCATATTAAGTGTTTGTTCTGCTAGATATTGTCTATGTAGATAAGAGAAGAAAGACGAATAAATGAATTTAAAATGCTTCACACGCAGAAGGTCCCCGGTTCGAACCCGGGCGGAACCATATCTTTTTTTATCTTTCGAATCCCTTTGTGACATTATCACAGTGAAATTTCTGTATCAATACATTTCTTTTCACTATTTAGTTTTTTATGTACAGTCGTCTTCAGAAAACATGTTGCTGTTGGACGGTGACAGAGCTCTTACTGTAGTGGCGACAGAAGGTGAGTTCTCAAGCAGCTCTTTTGCTTTCCGCGTCTTCAGTTCCCAATAAAATTACCTATCATTCTTGCTTTGCTTGAAGTTTGCATAAAAAGATCATGAGAATATCTGAAACTACTAAATATATAAGATATACAGTGTGTCCAGTTTTCGATGCTTTTGCGTGATATCTCATCAGTTATCTTTGGAGATAGAACCTTGCGGTTCTGCGGTCCTGTGCCACTTTTTTGTGAAACTCAAGATGGCCTAATCAGATTTTGCAAGACTGTTTCCGTTTATGAAATACAAGGCGATTTTGAAAATTTATACATTTTGGACCCCCTCTATATCTACTAAGTTTCTCAGCAAATATGTAAAACCAAAATCTCATCGCATAGAGAATTTTACGCAGAATACAGTGGCGCACTTAATATTTTTTTAAGGGTATGGTTTTGGAAATACGACTCAAACTTAAGATTTTTTAAATGGAACACCCTGTATTTTATAAGCTCATTGAATTTCTCATCTTTCTGCTTACGAAATGATATAAAATGAATGAATGTAAAATTTTCAAAAATGCTCAAAAATCACTAAAATATTGAATTTTAATAGTGGGCTATCGATTTTTCATATAAAAAACGTACTAATTTAAGAAATGTTTCTGATAGCAACAAAAAAATAGTAATAAAAAGTTTATAATGTAGAATAAGCACCTGATTAAATATTTCTAAGACAATTGAATTTCGGAATTATCCAGTAACTTATTCATTGAATTATTCAAATTGATGTCAATTTTATCTAACATACATAGTCTAAGATCCGAACCTAAATCGACCTTCACCGAGCTGATAATAGAACGAAATATATTTTATCATGAATTTAGTATATTAGAAAACATATTGAAAATGGGTTGGCTAAAAAAATCCTGGACAGACTATTTTTAATTATTTTTCGAAAAATTATTTTCAATTAAATGTTGCAACATCAGGATAATAAAAAAATTGTGTCCTGACTGAAAGTATAAAACGTATAGAATGTGCAGCCGTTGGGTTGTCTACTATTTACCTGGGCGAAATACTGGGTTGTCAGGTAAACACAGGTATATCGATGCCAGTTACTTTCACTGGATTGGATAATTTAAAAAAATTTATATCATCATAAGCGCTGTTTAATTGCGAACACGTTGATATAGGGTTGTCTGCGAAAATTCCGGTCCTATTAGGGGTTTGCGAATTTTAAAGATTTTAATTTCAACGCGCGTGGAAGTGTGTGTCATGAGATCCGAGGTAAGTATACTGTGTAATAATAAAGGACCCAACATCGCAGTCGCTTGTGATGGGACCCTGAATAGTAGAAAGTGTGCGAAGTGTGCGAAGTCAAATCCTGAAAACTATGGTTGGCATTTTGATGATTTCTTAAAACCAACAGGTTTTATCGGAGATCAAACTCCTTTGAAAATCCAGGACATTGTCTAAATGGAAGCAAATGAGGAAGAATCTAATGAATCAGACGAATTCGAGAGTCAAAATGATACTTCTGATGAATCAGATATTGAATAGAAAATATTTATTAGAATTTATTTTTCATTAATATTATTTTTGTATTTATACTGTTTTTTAATAAAATTTCAAATCGTAATACAAGATGTCTAGTCTATCTTTTTTGTTATTTCTTAATTTAAATTTTTGGCGGTCCACTTTGTTTCTATTTCCAGAAAGAGCAAAAAAATTTCAAAGTAAGTATTTGATATTTTTATTGTCTATTATAGATTATAGATATATCATTATGGTTATAACGCAATATATTGATATTATATTGTTTTTATATATTAGTATTATATTAAATATATTTAATTATTATGTAATTAATTAATTATTTTTTTTGCTACTGAAATATCAGTTGCTCCCAAATAACACGCACTGTTTACTATATGAAGGGTAGTAGAGGTACCTCTACCCTCCATAGTTTACACACCGAGGATGCGCACTTTCTACTATTCAGGGTCCCATCACAAGCGACTGCGATGTTGGGTCCTTTATTATTACACAGTATACTTACCTCGGATCTCTCTGTCACACACTTCCACGCGCGTTGAAATTAAAATCTTTAAAATTCGCAAACCCCTAATAGGACCGGAATTTTCGCCTATTATAGGAACCCTATATCAACGTGTTCGCAATTAAACAGCGCTTATGATGATATAATTTTTTTTAAATTATCCAATCCAGTGAAAGTAACTGGCATCGATATACCTGTGTTTACCTGACAACCCAGTAGTTCGCCCAGGTAAATAGTAGACAACCCAACGGCTGCACATTCTATACGTTTTATACTTTCAGTCAGGACACAATTTTTTTATTATCCTGATGTTGCAACATTTAAATAAAAATAATTTTTCGAAAAATAATTAAAAATAGTCTGCCCAGGATTTTTTTAGCCAACCCATTTTTAATATGTTTTCTAATATACTAAATTCATGATAAAATATATTTCGTTCTATTATCAGCTCGGTGAAGGTCGATTTAGGTTCGGATCTTCTACTAACAGTTGACAAACTTTCTCAATACTTCTTTTGATTCAGTGGATGGCCCAACATACTTGAAGAACTTTGTACAACAACAGAGGCAGTTTTCTAGGAATTACAAAGACTTCCTTCAATGATTATGAATGCATTAATATGTATTGAGGAAGTTTGTGAGGGAAAATGGACATCATTTTGAACAATTCAATGAATACATCACTGAATAATTCTGAAATTCAATTGTTTCAATAAATATTCAATCAGGTGCTCATTCTACCTTATGAACTTCTTATTACCATATATTTGTGGATATCAGGTATCAGGTATCCATGTTATTTCCCCCTTCAATCAACAATCAACGGAAATATTCCTTCAATTGGAAATTTTTTTATATGGAAATCCCTCGAAAAACCCAGAGCCCACGATTGAAATTCAATGTTTTTGTGATTTTTGAACATTTTTGAGAATTTTATATTTAAACATGATATATCATTCCAAAGAGAGAAAAATTTGAAATTCAATGAGCTTATAAAATACAGGGTGATCCATTTAAAAAATCATAAGTCTCGTCTCTCCAAAACCATACCCCGAAAAAAAAAGTTAAGTGCGTCACTGGATGCTGCATAAAATTCCCTATGGTTTGAGGTTTCAATTTGACATATTCGCTGATAAACTTCGTAGATATAGAGGGGATCAAAAAAGTATAAATTCTTCAAATCGTCCTGTATCTCATAAACGGACCCAGTCCTGCGAAATCTGATTAGGCCATCTTGAGTTTCACAAAAAAGTGGCACAGAACCGCGAAAACTGTAAGGTTCTACCTCCAAAGATAACTGAGATAGAATGCAAAAGCATCGAAAACTGGACACCTTGTACAGTGAAAATGAGATAATTATAGGTAGGTAGGTACTTCAGTGTTACTGCAGTGATGTACTAGGCATGAGATTAGTCTCAGAAATGAGGGTTAATGAAGTTCTACTCCTTCTTCTCTTCAGGTTTTTTAAATTTCTATATACTCTAAGTAACAATTTCTGTAGATCCGGTAATTAATAAAATGAATCCTTGGTTATGTAATAATATTATCACTCGACTTGCCACATAAGACACCGGTTGTCTATCGCAATGGCCTGAAGCCAAGTCATCAGTGTTCATAAGATTCGAACGTATGTACTCCTCTTATCCAGCAAATCCGTTGCTGATCCGGTCTGGTTACCGGCGTAGAGATAATGGAGCACGTTTGACTTCAAGTATAGCCCCCTTTTCCGATGAATCCGTCATCATCCGTCCTCTATACCTTCGTAGAGATAAAAGAGCCTGAGATTTCTCACACACACCTTATAAACTTCACATTGAATATTGGATTTCAATCCAGATCAGGTGATTAGAAAGTTTTGGGCTTGCACACACATTAAACCTGACTTTTAGTCTGGAGACGCCATGTTTATCCTATTGTGGCCAAAAGTCGGTATGTTAATGAAGTTGCTTTCAAAAAAAAAAGTCCATTTCATGAAAAATCTTGTGTTGATTGAATGGAAATTAAGAGGCCTGTTCGTTTGTACTTGCTCTACATGCTAGAATTGATTCGTTTTCTATGACTGTCTCCGTTTATATCATGCCATGAACAGAGACAACTGTAAGAAGAATGAACTTCAGCAAGTTTAGCAATACAAACGGACAAGCCTAAGGTTTCTGGAACATAACCTCCACCAACACAAAGCAGCAATGCCAAAAAGTTTAAATATTTTAACTTCATCGCGTCAAATATTTTTCAAATTCAGCGTCACCAATCAGGTTGCATGACACTCGACGCGTGAAATAAACACATTGTAAACTCACCTTTAGGGAGCTGGCACCATCCATGTGCGTCATGATCTCTGAAGACGAGTGTACCTATTGTCAATTATCACTTTCCCAACCAAAAACGATAGTATTTATAGATGGAATTCTTCAGTGATTTCATTGAAAAACAATCATTTATATTCTATCAATTCCCGTGAATAATATCAATTCCAAGTATCTGTTTTGCATCTCGTAGAGCGCACGAAATGTAATTCCTATAATGTTCGGAGGAAATCGTTCGTACCTAAGGAATTCTTCATTGAACCAATCGAAAAACCTTCGACTTTTCTTTTATCTATACTATTTACCACAATTCTATTCTAACTACCTTGGGAAAATTAAAAAAAAAAGATGTGGAAAACTGGAATATAAACCCATCTTATAGCTTCTCACGACTATAATAATCATGTGTGCAACTTTCAATCCCCATACAGCATGACGAATGGTTAGTGTTGGCAATTAGTTCTCTGGGATTGACACCGAAAGCTCTACATCTATATATTCTCCGGATTCACCCACTAGTTCATAACTAACATTTCGCTAAGGATATATTTGATATTTTCCATTCTAGATATTATCTCTGATTGGCTTGACTCTCATGGAATATACAGCCAGATTCTTCGATAAATGGATCTTCGAAACACTCCTCATAGGTCTAGGTGGATACCTCCTGATCTCCATAGCGATGCTTTTCGTCATCATCTTGGATTATCTGAGCCCATTCACAGAGGTGTTGTTCGCTGCAGCAGGATGCATCATCAATATGATCGGAGGAATCTTCACGTTGATACGGTACATGCAGAGGTACCATTTCACGAATTGGTTCTACATCATGTACTTTTCTGGAGATGGCGGAAACACAGTGGAACTAGCGCTTGGTATAACGTCCATCATTTTGGCATTGGTGTTCTCTTTAGATTTCTTCTTGAATATGAGAGAAGGTTTAGCGATCTCACGGGGGGACTCATTAGATGATATTGATCTGGAATGATACTCATTTTATTGCATTTGTGAACAAGTCAGAGATTGCAGATTATTTTCAATTGATCATTATCCTTATATAAATATATATGCCTAATGTTATGCCAAAACTGTATGGTCTTATATCAAATGTGCGATATTGATCATTGGATAAAAGTCTTGAGTTCATGTACCGATTCCTTTATTTTTTGTCACCTTTTGTAGCATTTTAACCGTTGAGGCCTTTGCAGGTATACAGGGGTGAAACTAGATGACTTGTAAAAGTAGTAATATATTTTGTTATACTATTTGACATTTGATTAACTAATGATGAAAACTATGAAAAGGTATAAATTTCGAGCCCAGAGGTGAACTGATGATCTTCAGGCTCAATGTAATACAAATCTCACGTATACTCACATCTTGAATAAACACAACATTATCAAAATCTTCGGCATTGATTTACTGATGGAGTTTCGCAGCTAGACCTGGACTAACTACAGGGTCTATTCAAGAGATCGTGACATCGTAATGACTGTTGAAATATTTCATTAATTTGCCCCTTTCCACTCCATGGAGATCAAACTATAACACAATCGGTCTCTTCAGTGTGTGTGAACATCAACATAAGCAGAGAGCGGAAATATTTCAACAGCCATGCACTACGAAGTCGCGATCATTTATTGAAACCGTATTCTACTAACGATTATGGCTTGGATTTAAGTGAAAAATATCGATGATTCTTTTAGAACTGGTATTTTCCCAACCTTCCGGAGGATATCACTGATTATTCCTATCCTTGATGTGTGATGGAATATCATCCAACTATAGGCTCGTTTTAGTGAAAAATCTGATTTTATAATGTTGATATACCAACATTCAACCTATATATTCGTTATTGAGAAATATTACAGTATTGTTGCTTACCGAGATTGAGCGTTTTTTAGAGGTGATTATTTTTACTTCAAATGCACACGAAAGTTTTTTTTGTCGAATCAGAGTTGATATTTCAATGAGAATCTTGTTGCTTGGGAACTAACAAAAAAAAGGTTCGAAAAGATGAAATATGTCCATAGAACGAGTAATAATTATTTCATGCGCAATTTCTTTAGTTGAATCTCCTAAGGGCAACTGAAATATGAATGTCAGATCTACTACGACAAAATGAATGCTTGATTAAAATGTTGTTGTGAGAAAATTCAATGAATACGCAATTCACATTATTGTTTATGAAGTTTTTAATTCCTTCAATCGAAGACTATCTGAATCACGTCATTTCCACAGATTGAATAGTTTTCTGACAAAACAGTTGGAAATAAAAGCACATGAACGCCATCGAAGATTTTTTCCGTCGACCTCTTATAATCGAGTAAGTTCGATGTTTGTGAAATTGATCGGTAATGACCCCTATCAATGATCAGTTTGTCTATTGATGCACGATTCTAGCATAGGCAATCAAACATACACCGTGTCCATTTACTGTGTATCCTATAACTTAACGTTATCTAGGTACATTTGAATCGAAAATATGAATTCCTTCAAAGATTTTCCCTTAACGGTTCAGCCATTCCAAGTTTCTGAAAATATTTTGATCCGTGTATACATGGTGTATACTAACACTAGGAATTTATTTTTCATGTTGATAATCTCTAGAAATGTCAAATGTTACTAATGTCACTGACAAGGCTACTGGGTGATTCTCAGAAGTTTCCGAATGAATGAAGAATTCGCGAACCAAGTTTTTCCATTGCAGGTTAAATGAGAAATATAGTCGACGGAAGAAATGTGTAACCGACTCGAATGTTGAAAGGCGATTAAAAATTTCGAACGCTCGCTTTGCTCGCACGTTAGAATATCTCGATCATTAATCGCCTTCACTAATACACTATAGTTGGTTCAATAACTATTTATTAGAGTCACTAGATGGTATTAGTTTGATAAGAGTTCGGACACAGAAATGACAACGGTTAGGGTTTTTGAATGTTTAGATTTATAAAGTTACACACCATGCATTGTGACAAGAGCACCATAGTCGTCCCGCGCTTTTTCATTAAAAATTTTTTGAATTTGACAATTCATTTCATAAACGTCAGAATTGAAATAAAATTTCATAATTATTATACTTTCGAGATGAAAGCAGCTATGGAAATCACTTGGTGTATATTAAATTGTGCCAATTTTGAAACAAATGGATATCATTTATTCGATTTTCCAATTCAAATATCAAGCATTCGCTTATATGGAAGGAAGATATGAAACGGCCTGGGTGGAAAATCAATTTGAAGACGAGCGAAATTTGTGAGGTAGGTACTCATTGAAATTCACTTCTTATAACAGCATCTGATTAGAATGAATCTATATTTTAGGCCCATTTTCAAACAGAAGATTTCAAAATCTGTTTGAGAGAATCTGCTGTTCCATCAATTTACAAAGCAGACGATTTCAAGAATAAAATTCCATTATTATCATCACACAAAATACAAAACAAAATAATCATGGAAGAAGGAGAAATGCTCGCAAAATTACCTTATGAAATTGAAAAGCAAGTGAACTACAACGTGATATATTATTGAATGGCGTTTTTGGTGCTGACCGCGAATTCAAAATTCAACAGTGAAAAGTGAATAGATATTTATGTATCAAGGGAATTATTATAAGGGCTTTAATCACGCTGGAGGTTATCGTTTTGGAGATATTATCTATATCGATCCATGTTACTTAGCTCTTAGGGCGGGCGCTAAGTGAAGTTGCTGAGAACTTAACAAAACCAAGTATTTGGTAGGTCTCGTCAAAATAAATTACTTTTTTCCCATTAAATCTTTATCGAAAAATCATTTGTTCTGTATTTCAACACCATGTATCTCAGAAATAAAGCATTTCCAGACACAAGCTTATATAGACTTTATTTCTTAAAATTGTCTCAGGAATACTTCACTGGAGTACAGTTTCACATACAATAAGGAATTATAGCTATAAATTTATCCATATGTATATATTCTCTGATATTAAAATGTTGTACATGCATTTTTTTCTTGCTCTTGCTCTGCTAGAAGGGTATCACTATGAATTGAAGTGGGTGTTTGTATCCTATATCCATTGTCCATCTACGGCTGTGATCGATTTGACAGAAAATATAACCTCTAAAATCGTATCTGACAATCAGGCGCTACTAGGGAAATTGAAAAGACGAAGAGCAGAATATATGTCTTATTCTTTTATTCACTTGAACCATTGTATTATAGAAAATAGAAAAGGACAAAAGTTCAGCTGTGTCCGAACTCTTATCAAACTAATACCATCCAGTGACTCTACTATTTATGATTTTGGGTCATGCTTTCAAATGTTGGTCTCGTTTTGTCACTGAAAACGTTGTTTCGCTGTCATAAAGTATCTGTGATGATTCTCAATATTGAATAATCGTATCGAATATACTATTAATACCTGAAAATATCAACATAAAATAGAAATGTAGCGTGAATTCGACCAGTTTGTATACAACCCCATTCGATTTTCAATCGAGCGAAGGTATATATACCTATATTTGCATTTATGTCAGGACACAAATATTGGAGATTGCTCTGCCGCAGTGTTTTGTGAGTTTTCCAGAGCATTCGACTGCGAGAATCACGCGGATTACCAACTGATGCAAAAGGTTCAACATTATGGCAGCATGCAGTAATACAAGTTTTCAGAAATTCAAATCCCATTTGGAGGATCACATCAGTCAGCTAGTCTACGCAAGTAATAATTCTAGTATTGCTAAAATTGCATATTGGGCTCCGTTCTAGTGCCAAATTTGCGTTATTTCTATATTAAACATACCAGGAATTTGTTATTGATGGTAGAGATCACTATTTTTGCAGATGGTTCAACCATTCAATGGCACAACAAATCATTCATTGAATTGCAATAAACAATAGAAAGCAAGTTATCCACTATCAAGCGATGGTGTGATTCCTACTTTCTAGTTATCAACCTGAAAAAGTTCTTGATCATAACATTCCACTTTTTACTTTCTAGCATATTGGAGGCAAATGCTTGAAGTGTAGGCATGCAAAACATGAATAAGGTTCCTTGTATAAGACATCGATGATAAAATGAAATTTGGTCAATCAGCAAATTATTTCAACTATCTCTGTATGACACTTGCATCTGGCCTATGCAATTAGAGTTATATCGAGCGAGTTAAATTATTCAGCTGCAACGACTGCTTATTTTGATTGAAGCTTACCTGAGGTATTAGATTATACATACGTTTTGGGACACAGAATTGTATATTATTATATAAGTTTCATGAGACACTATTTTGTCTCACGCGTTGTTTGGAGTACGCGACGAGCGAAGCGAGGATTCCCCAAAAGAATCCAGTGCGACAATATGTCTTATAAAACGTGTGTGATAATATATACTTCTTGTCCTATTCTGCATTCATTCGTACGCTCTTATTGAAAAAATGGTATCCACCTACAATTGGTGACAATTAAAAAGCATTTAAATGTTTATTCCCAAATTTGACAAATGGTAGAAAAATCATTCAAATTAACATCAATATTACAGTAATATAATTTGAAATTATTGGTCTTTTGAAAATCTTGATTTTCTATTTTGAAAAAGATTAAAGAGCCAAATTCGAGTTGCTCCTTCCTGAACTGAGGGAATTAGCCCAAACCGCTATACAGCACATTGTTTTCGATTTTCAACAGTAGCCCAACAAAACTTCCCAGATCAACTTTGATAAAACATTCCCAAGATACATATGTGATGTGATAGTTAATTTATATGACAAACAACAATTAATTTATGGATTATTTGTTGCGTCCTGTCTCTAGACGCTAGTGTGTCTGATATTTTGAGTCGACATTATATCATTACAATGATGGAAGTAAGATATGGTGTAATTACTGATGCGCTTTTGTTTCAGAAATTTTACTCGACCTCTCGAGAGCAGCGAGAGCAATGATTCCGTTGATCTTCTAATAGATGGCGACATTGCACAATTATGATTTCTGTCAGTTTTGAAATTGTCCCAGATTTTTCGAATTCAGAGTTGTTTAATCCCACTGTAACATTATGTTCCGCGTACCTAGAATGGCATTTGCCATTTTATTTCCACTCGTCACAGCAGCAATAGCAGTATCACCATCTAGCGGGAAAATGTAGAATCAACGTCTCGCTCGTTGTGACGAAGAGAAATCATAGTAGGCCGGTCGAGTGATTTTTCTGAAATTTTCAATACGTAATAATGGCCGAATGCGCACACCATATCTTACTCCCATCATTATCATTACTATCATTGAAAAAAGAAATTCA